TGGTATCTGTCTGGGTTACTTTGCTTATTTTATGAAGTACTTGTATTTGTTGCCAGTGACACTATCAATACTCCACAATAGCAATCACACCTTGGCAATCTCCATCATGACTCAGTAGAGATAGTGGCATGCCCTCCTGACTTTTAAACAATGTTGTCACCGTCTAATATTACCTGTTCTCCCCTGCCAAGACTGCTCCCACTTACCTCCATTAGTTCTTGAATTATTTTTTCCCCTTATATTCATTAGAATCAGGAAAAGCTAGCTCTGCAGAAAATGCTGCCAAAGTCTTTAAACTAGTCATATTTTCCTTCACCCTCCCGTAAGACATCCTAGTTTACATTTCTAATTCAACTGCAACTCATAATTCTAAATTCTCTTTATTTCTCGATCTTCGCTGGAAACTTGAGTATTCCTTATTTAAATTTTCCTGGTGTGAGTAGTTTGTGGACACTATAATGTCACTCCAGTGGTTGTACTACTTCCTAAACAAGCCCTAGCACCTGTCCCACAATGTGCATGAACGCACAGGCACACACATATACACACACATAAATAAAGTGGGTGCTGCTAGTGATTCCCACTTTTGGGAAATAATTTTTAGTTTTCAAAAATGAGCTCAATAGCTACCATTAAAAAAATCTAACATGGTTCTTTAGACCTACCCAGATGTTAGTGGTTTTTATTTTGGGAATATTTGCTCTTTGAAGATGAAAATGAGTTATTACACAACTATGATGTCACACAAAAGGAGATGTTTACATAGCACTTCCACTAATTTGCAAAGAAAGGGCACTTACAGCTTGGACACCTCCTTAGATTCCCCCCTTCTTTGCTGCAGATTAGAGAGACTCTCTAGTCTCATCTCCCTGGATTATTTTAGGGGAAAACTAAAGTGTCAGATGATACTTGGCTGTCCTGCCTTGTCCTGGTCCTGTGGGGCCTGGGTTCTGGCTGCTGTGAGAAATTTTGGCAAGTCAAGCTCTGAGAGTCCAGGTATTTTCCTTTATAAAGTGGGCACAATAATGATGAGATACTGCTGAACACAGGAGGGGTGTGCAGTAGGCAGGCTACCGAGGACACACACATCTGTGTTCTACACATTGGCCCCGAGACACTGCCTGTCTGTCTTGACTCTGCCCCACCCACCCACCACACTCCTTGCTCACCTCCTCCTGGGCAGGTGGAGGGGAAATCCAGTCGTTTCTGCTGCAGCCTCCCCCTTAGCTCCACTGCTGACCATTCAGGCTTCCCTCTCTCTGCTCTGTGGCCAGTGATTGACATGAGGCCTCTGTGTTTTCCTGGCTGCCACTTCCTGCCTGATAGCCATCTTTCTGGGAATTCCTAAGAATGTTGGTGTCTGGGGCTTCCCTCTCTTACTTTTTGAGTATAGTCAGAGACTTATTGGGCTTCCCAGGTGGCACTAGTGGTAAAGAACCCACCTGGCAATGCAGAAGACATGAGATCCCTGGGTTTGATCCCTGGATCAGGAAGATCCCCCTGGAGTAGGAAATAGCAATCCACTCTAGTATTCTTGCCTAGAGAATCCCATGGACAGAGGAGCCTGGCAGGCTACAGTCTATAGGGTCACAAAGAGTCAGACACAACTGAAGCGACTTAGCACACATAGATTCATTTGGCTTTAAACACATTTTATATCACTGTTTTGAACCTTGTGAGTGGGACAAAGTGATAGCATCTTCTCAGCTGACACTGTAGAGCAGAAGTATCACAGTGGTATCTGACTTGATCTCTCTTTGGCTCCTAGTGAGCCTGGAATTGCTTATTCAACCTTTATTTTTTTTAAGCTTTTCATTTTGTCTTGCTGCTGCTAAGTCGCTTCAGTCGTGTCTGACTCTGTGCAACCCCATAGACGGCAGCCCATCAGGCCCCTCCATCCCTGGGATTCCCCAGGCAAGAACACTGGAGTGGGTTGCCATTTCCTTCTCCAATTTTGTTTTGGGGTATTGCCAATTAGGGGTTCCCTCGTAGCTGAGCTGGTAAAGAATCCGCTTGCAATGCAGGAGACTCCAGTTCGATTCCTGGGTCAGGAAGATCCCTGGAGAAGGGATAGGCTACCCACTCCAGTATTCTTGGGCTTCCCTGGTGGCTCAGATGATAAAGAACCCCCCCTGTAATGTGGGAGACCTGGGTTCAGTCTCTGGGTTGGGAAAATTCCCTGGAGGATGGCATGACAACCCACTTCCGTAATCTTGCCTGGAGAATCCCATGGGCAGCGGAGCGACTAAGCATAGCACATAGCTGATTAACAGTGTGATAACTTCAGGTGAAAAGTGAAGGGACTCATCCACACATATACATACATCCATTCTCCTCCAAACTCCCCTCCCATCTATGTTAACATTGAGCAGAGTTCCATGTGTAATAGGTCCTTGTTGTCCTTTTATGCTTACGAAGTACCATTTTAAATATCATCCTAGCCATGTCTTCAGTTCAGTCGCTCAGTCGTGTCCAACTCTTTGGGACCCCATGGACTGCAGCATGCTAGTCTTCCCTTTCCATCACCAAACTCATGTCCATCGAATCTTAGATGCTTGCAATTGTAAGACAAAATGACTAGGGAGGGGGGCATCCAGATGCAATATAGTTACCACAGTAGCTAACGTTAGCAGTTCACAGGGGAGGAAACATAGCCTCAGGTAGGCAGGCTGCTTTGCCCCTGATCTGACAGTCACATTTCAATTCTTCCTGAAAACAACTCAAGATTTACCTTTTTTGCTATTATCCGCTTGGACACTTACAGTAAGTACCACAGTCTATGGCTCATCCCTTTTGGGAGCAATTTATCAAGAGTTTTTTTTTTAATATTGTCAATTTCATGGCTGCAGAATCTCCCTGGGAGTCTACTACTGAATCTCTCTCTGCTGTCTCTTTGTTTGGACACTGTGTTGACATAACCCAGCACTCCACTGGGCGTACTGAAGGGAACTAAAGCTTTTTTCCTTCCATATGTAGTTATTGTTTTCTCTCCAGTTGTGGACTTGGACAGCCTTTTGTTTTGCCACTTAACACGGGAACCTGACTTTACACCCTGTCCTATTTTGATTCATGTTGTTATAGTCATTCCATCCATTCTAGGCTGTGAAATGCTTTTGGATGTCGACTACCATCCAGTATCTTAACCCTCCTCTGCCCTGTAACATTTGCAGATGATATAGGTGTCCCTCTGGGCCTCATCCAGTCACTAAAAACTGCTGAAAAGACAAGTCCAAGGGTTGAGACTGGCAACACATTCCCTAGCGTCAGATTTCAGAGGAAACTGGTCACTGTGTCCAAAAGGACAAAGTGGATTGTCTGTGTGTGTGTCCCAGCATTCCCTTTAACTCAAAGGATCTCTTTTTAAAATATAAAAGTGTAGGAAGTTTAAAAGACTAAAAATCAGGCAGTCAAAAAGGCCTCTAAACTGGGATGTTGTAATTGGGCTCTTCCTAGGTGCCACCAGGAGATATGGTAACAGAATGAGGGTTAAGTCATCCTGCACATGTATTATGAAGCCTCAAGACCCCCAGCCCATGTCCCCACCCCCACCATACACACATACTTCTAGGATGAAAAAGAAGGCAGTGTGGGAACAGTTCTGGAGAGGGCTTTGGTGAGGAGAACAGCTCTGGAGAAAGCTATTCTTAACCAACATCCACTCACCCCTTCCCCCCACCCAGAAGCCAGTCCCACTGTGCAACAGAAGACACACTTGTCTGTAATTAGGACACTTTCTATGGGATGACTGAGGATCCTGAACAAATCATCAGTCATGATCTTGTCAATGGTTTACTTAGAATGATGCTTTCTTCTGGGCTTCTATAATATAGTTTCCAAACTGGAGCTATTATTTATAGTCACCATTAACAAACTGTAAAAAGCCAAGTCATTACATATACTCAGGTTGAATATGGTGAAATGCGATCATTGATATGTTCTTTGAAATTTTGGAAACTAAGTAAAAATAGTATTTCACTAGCTTAATTTCCTAGACTGTTATACTCTGGAACTGTTAAGGTTTACAATAACATAAAAATGACTTCATCCTTAGTCTTTAATCCACTCTTTTAATAGAACCTCTAAATAACAAAGTGGGTCGATGACTCAACTATTCACTTCCATGTGTCACACTTAAAAGAGATAACTAAAGACATGCTGATGCTAAACAACTTGGATTTTTCTACTTAAAAACAAAAAGGATACAGAAAATGAAACCTTAAAGAAAAATATATAATAGGGAGTAATTTAGTAAATTACTAGTCTTAAATGCAAGAAAATGCATTCCCCACCCCCTTTTCTCTACTCTCCTCCTATGGAAGGTTTTCAAACTAGAAAAAGGGCCAAACTAGAAAAAGAAAATTATGTGTTGAACTTGTGTTTTAGTTTTCCCTCAGATAGTAAAGAATCCACCTGCAATGTGGAAGACCTGGGTTCGATCCCTGGGTTGGGAAGATCCCCTGAAGGGAACGGCTACCCGCTCCAATATTCTGGCCTGGAGAATTCCATTGTCAGAGGAGCTTGGCAGGCTACAGTCCATGGGGTCACAAAGAGTCAGACATGACTGAGTGACTTTCATTTACTATAGATGGGAGAAAACTCCCCCAAATAAGTAAAATGCAGAGTATCTTAATACAGTATCTACTTTTGTAACTTAAATTGCTTTCTTTCCCATAAAACTAAGTGCAATGGAGCGAAAGTTCTGTGTTTGTCACCAATCCTTTATTGAAACTGGTAACTTACACACTTTATAATAGAACAACAAAAATAATGTTCAATATATACAGCCTTTGCGATGGACTATTTGACTATACACAAGGCAGAGTGATAACACAGTCTAATCTTCATAATAATTTGTGCACAAAAAGACACCCAACAGACAACAAGTGAACGTTATACAGTGAAATGACATCACAGGTCCAGTGAAAATTCAGCCTAATACAAAACGTACTCATCTATTGCAAATGCATCTCTAAAGGCCCAGAGCTTGTTCAGTAGTAATTTTACCCAGAGTCTGAAGCAGAGATTTGGTGTGTGGCTATAAGTCTTTTAAGTGAGACCACCTCTGCAGACAAGTTTGCTATCCCCTGCTTCAGAAACAAATTCTCTGGGTCAGAGACTTTGTAACCACTGTCTTTCACTTCCACCACTCCAGTTTTGAAACTACTCTGAGTTTTGCCATTAAGTTCTTTCTGATGCCAGTGTTCAGATTTGAGAGACCAATCTTGAATGTTAGTCACTTGGACTGAAAAGGGAGTGAGAGAAGAATGTACCAGGTTGGGGGTGGTATGCTTCTCAAGTTCGAAATGTCTCTTAGACGTCATGTCAACAGGCGAGGAAAGTTTTTGCGTGCCATCAAACTCATGATCGAAGGCTTCCACTTTTATTTGCATGGCTTTGGCTTTAATCCGAAGCTTGTGTGGCAAAGCAGAGGAATTCACTTCTGGAACTTTAACCACTGTGGCGTGGACACGCTGAAGTTCAACGGGAGAGTGGATCGGGCCCTTGGGAACCTGCTGCTCATCTTCTCCATCGGATGACTTTCCTACTGCACCTTCATCAGTTTCCGATGTCCTCGGAGAGTTACTGGAGGACCGGTTGACCTGCAGCAGAGGGGGAGAGTGCGAGTATCCGGGAAAGGAATTCCCCATGTAGTTCTGATACACAGCCCCTCGGTAGGCACCCCGGTCATCTCTGGGCTCCCTGGCATAGCTCTCCAGTTCCATCGGCTCTTGCTTGATGACCTGGAATTTGCTTTCTGGGCTTCTGCAGCCACTCTGCGCAGGGCCCTCCTGTGAATGTTCTAGCGAGGATACTTCTGAAACATCAGACAGAGAACTCTGAGGAGAGTGCTTGATGACAGAAATGCAACTGCTAGCCACCATCGAGGGCTCATGCTCATCCACAAAGGCGCTCACAGTGGATTTGGAAGTCTGGTAGTCTTGAAAGTACACAGCTGTAGAATTACTGAGTTTCTGAATCTCCTGGGCGTAGGCTGTTGAGCTAATTAAACCAAACTTTAATTTTAGGGAAAGCAGTTCAGCTTTTAAAGTGGCATTTTCTTCTCCCAGTGCAATGAGTTTGTTCTCCAAAACCAGGTCATTCAGTCGACGCTTCTCCCGGGACCTCTTGGCGGCTTCATTATTTTTCCGCCTCTTTTCCCAATACATGGCATCTTTCTTCTCGTCGGGAATGAATTCCCGTTTCCTCCGACATGCTGAGGACTTGTTTTTCCCCACACTTCCTTCATTGAGAAGGAGCTCTTCCCCTGTCGTCAAGTCTTCGGAGACTTCGGTCAAGGCAGAATTAAGCACCATCATCTTGTCCGCGCCGCTACCAGCATCAAGAGATGCCTGCTCCTTCTTGATGCTCTGCATTTTTCTCAGCTGCATCAGAAACCACCTTAACCTATATGCGCAGTGCAGGGGAAGAAGTTATTTCCTCAGTATTCCCAAGTGCTTTAAAAACTGCAGTTTAAAATCCATCAATATTCTTCCTTTTGTCCTATGGTCCAGAATAAATCTCTCCTGCTCCTCTCACTGAATGAAGTAGGGGTCTTCTAGATGACCTGCAATACACAAAGAGAAACAGTTATCCATTTGGTAAATATTTATTACCAGCCATGTACAAGAAACTACACGAAGCATTGAGGGGCAATAGTTCTGTCCTTCAAAGAGTTTACAACCTTGAAAAGAAAGTAAGTACCTAAATACCTATACTGTAAAGTTGTAAAGGACAGTCCCCACTGAGAACTGTCAGCAGGGGAATATGTGGTCCAGGGGAGTGAGAGAAAAGAACAGATCTGCCCTGGGGAGAAATAGAAGGCGGCTGTGTTTCAGGAGAAAAAATAGTGGGGTGGGGCATGTGGGGATAGGACATTACAGGAAGGAAATGACAGATCGCCTCTGGTTAGTACATTTTTAAATAGTACTTGCATCTTGTGGGGCTTCTGAATACCTTTAGATAGCATTTATATGACTGCCAAGCAAACCAGTTCACCTCATAAAAGGAACTTTTCCAAGGAAACCCTTTTAATGTCAGTAGACAGACTCTGTAATTATATGGAATCAAACAGAAATGGAGCTAGATTTTTATTTCCACAAAAACGAATATAAAAGTCACACAAACAACTGAGTTGTGGTTGTTTAATTCTTACGTGGTTTATGTCACGGTCATTCTGCCAAGTGACTCAGCACACCTGAAAAGGACTCTTCTCAATAAAGCTGTCTCTGACGCATTTGTGCTATGAGAAAATCGTTTTTTTCCCCCCCTGGTTCCCTCAAATTGATTTATCAAACATGCACTTAAGGTTGTAGCATCTACAATACCTTTTTTGGTCCTGATAATTCTGTCATAATAGATTTCACTGATAGAGTAGCTTCAGCCTAAAATAAATGGTTAAGGGATTTTTTTTTTTTTTTTTAAGTAAAGTGCCTTCTTGAAACTTAAAATTATTTTAAACTGAGAGCATGTAATTATGGAAAGAATTTCTTTCCATTTTACTAATTAGTTTCAAACAAAATATAAGAACTTGAAAACAGGACTATCAACTAGCTTCCTTTTCCATTGATGACAAATTTATAATCTGAATTTGGCCTGACAGGAGATAATAAATCCATATTAGGTTCCAATGACAATCTTTTCATGGTGGTTTTGGATCTGTGTTTCTGGACAGGGTTTCTCTGCCTAGTTTTCCAGTAGGTAACATTTTCATGAAGGAGATATGGTAAAACAACTGTCCATTCAGCACTATCTGTATATGGCGCCTCTCCTGCCCCATCAGAAAGATTTAATGTTTTCATGTCCCTCTTTCTTTCTCGTGCATAGTTTTATATTGACTAATGGTTTAATTTTATCAGTTGGAAAAGGCTGCCAGCTTCTTGTGTCTTTTCCAGAAGGAATAGAAGGAATGATGTAATCATTTCAGGATCATCAAGGATAAGGTTTAATGCCACATTTTCGTCCATCAAACTGAGCCAATGCAAACAGTGAGTTGCAACTCAGCAAAATTTAATGATTATGAATACTGAGCTTCTGTTTGTCTTTGATAATATATTTTAGTGGGAAATGAAGGCAAGGAGTCTGCCATAGCAGGCAGTGATGGTGTAGAAAGGGAGCTTCCTAGTTATCACTTAGTAAACAACACTACTTCCTATATTTGCACTCAACATTTCTTGGTCTGCTATGAAAACTTTTCCCTCTACATAATGAATGGATTATTTCCTTCTGTCAGTAATTTGTATTTCTTAAATCTGTTAAGTCCTCCCCACTAAAATCAAATGAATGCTGAAGCAAGAGTAAAAATTCCACCTCCAGGAGGACAACTATATTGAACTTTTCCAAGATGCATTTCAAATCTCCACTGTATCCCCAGGTACTACTTATGTATTTCCTTGCACACTATCATTCTGAGTATTTTTTTCACTTGAGACTCTTTCTCTTCCATGCATTTTTTAATTTATCCCTTCCTTGGAAGAAAATTAAATTTCTTCTGCATTTCATCTCAACTATGAATTGTTGCAGTTGTGCTTTTGAAATGCCCCACCATTCCGTCTGTATTACTCTTTCTAAACTTTTCATTCTTTCATCATTTCATATCCGTTTCATCATTTCAAACCTATGTTGAGTGAGTTGAGACTCTGATCTCAATCTCCTGTTCCAAAGAATCACGCTGAGTCTAGTGTGAGTAAGGGCAGGCAGGCAGCCCTTGCCACACTGCATAGAGAAAATAATCCTACTTCTGTTTAACAAAAATATCTCACTTGTCCTAAAATCTCTTAACCCACTTCTATGTGTCTAAGTACTGTATGTCCACTTTTTCATCTCTGTAACTTTGTTTGGTATGTTCAAAACCTGCAGAAAAATCTCATTTCTTTTCAGTTAATCTTCCAATTTCAATTTCACTAGGTATACTAGAATCTGGATTCTTCCCTCATCTGCACATAATAACTGCTTCTATGATTCCACCAGCAAATCACCGCATACTACATAAGGGTATTTTCTGTAATATTATTTATCAAGTAACTTTGCTGTGTTGAAAAGAATTTATTAGCAGTTCGAGATACTGTAGAGAGAGGTGGTGATTTTGTACAATGTGTATCTTCCTACATGTTTGTTTTGTATGCCCAACTAGAATGCCGATTAGTTCAGGGAGCAAATTAATATATTTGTATCCTAGCAACAAGCTGAACCTCTTAGGTGCTCGCCATTTGACTGACACTTATTTGCCTTACATAAGAGAGCTTTGTGACCAAAAACTTGCTGATACATTCTTTTATATTTGATATTATTACATAAATTCTAAAAAAGATTGTTCTACATACTAAGAGAGAACTTCTCTTATTCATTACTTGTTTTATGCAACAGATATGGAGCACCTACTCTGGCACTGAGCCAGACTTGGGGAAGATAAAGAAGGAAGGAAGAATCAAACTCCCAAGAATCAAGGCACCCCTTGGTCTTTGGTGAGAGACAGGCTCATGAATACAGATGAGCACTGTACTCATCCACAGGTGTGGTAGGAACACTGCCAACATGGGGAGTCAGTGTACGTATCATGTTGTTTCTAGCCACGCTGCTTTTTTCTTGGTATGGTGACAATAAAAACAATCATTACAGGTGCCATTTACTCAATACTGACTATGCAACAGGCACCCTGAGCCTGGTCTGTGATTATTTCACTGCCCTCACAATAATAACCACTTTCAGATGAGAAAACTAAGGCTGGGAGAAGTTAAGCAACTGGCCCAGTGTCACACAGCTAGTTAAGTGGAAGAGCTAAGATTCTCAGTTCTGTTCTTCTCATTTCGGTGTAATATATACCCATTTACTAAGTGATTTGGGGGCAGCAAAGCACTATTAGGTGTTGCCAGAACTTCTTTAAGACAACAAAGCAACTTTGTTGCAGATAAAGTTCCATCTGGAACTTTTCCCCCTCTTCCCCAGAGTTGTTTTATATCCTGTGATTATTTAATGAATTGAGAAAGCATTCTAAATTTTCATCTCTCTCTAAAATTTTAATCTCCTGGCAACCCTATATGCTAAAAATAATTAGAAGAAAAGGAAAGTTACAGCTGTTGGCATTGTCATCTGCAATTCCCCACCCCCCCAAACCCAAAATATATCCATTTTCAACATGGGGATAGGGTACAGTTAAAACACAGAAAGACTGTGCGACTTTTCCAAGATCATGCAGCACTAGACGGTAGAGATATTGAGGGGAGAGAATCTATCTGTGCCTTTCAACAATAAATTTAAAGAGCATGCAAAGGTAGATTGCAGTGCTTTCTAAAAACATCAGTATTTATTCTCAACTAATACCTTTATTTCAGATTCCAGTGTTTTCCCTTATGATTAATTTAACAGTCATTTCACCTCTGCCTCAAGTTTTCAGATCACCACTAATGCTGTGTTACATCAGTCACCGCTAGTTTCCTTTCTGGGGAGTAATTGACACTGAATGCCAACTCTATGATGCTGGTGTGTTCAGCACGATCAGTTTCATTACACCCATCAGATAATATAGCTGCTTCTTAAAAACACAAATAAAAAGAGAAATTTAAGAGCAGGAGTCATCACATTCCAATGACATATTTTCCCACACCTAACACGGACATACCACTGCTAATTAATGCTTTTTCATAGTACATCACAAGATTTCTACAGGCAGGAGTTGTTTTGTAAGTCCAGATTTAAAATTCTACTTAAGTCAGATGACCTAAATATTGTTTTTAATTAAGATTAAATTTGGTTTAGAAAATTCTCTAAAGAAATAAAGCTGTACAACACAAATTCTAGCCCTAATTTCTTTTTGAGCAGGGACCTTATGACCTGTATCTTCCCTGGCCTCTAACACATCTCTCAGGGAAATACTAGTGGACAATTTAAACTTGTTACAAAACAAGAAAAGAAACATTTTGTTTCAAGCATCTAAAATCTGACTAATAGCTTAGACATTAAAATCTACTATGAGAAAATTTTATTATCTCTTTAAAGAGACTGCAAATTGCTTCTATTCTATACTTTGATTTTAACATTCTGTCAATACAAGATGAAATACTATTTGATATGCCCAATGATTTGGAAATATTTTGACAGAATCACCTCATTTTTCCTGTACTCTCTGAATGTACTGTTTACACTCTCAGAGATATAGTATAGATACCATTAAAGAAAAAAAAATCCTTTATGTTAAACTACATCTCTCCACTAGGAAGACAACTGCTTATTTTTGAGATAAGTGCCATTTTAGTGAAAAAAGATAAAGTTAATGAATCAATTCACAGTTCTTTAAACTAGTAATACTAGCAAATATTAACCTACATCTTCTTCCTGTGGATAAAATCCATGATGTGATTGTTTCAATAAAATGCTTTACCTTCTTTTCATGGAT